CTCTATGTGAACATAGGTCCTGTAAACTTGACTATAGGCCATGTCCCCGCATTACGCCTTCATTTAGTAACTAACTGTCGGTTACTCACTTGATGGGAATAGGACCCACAAGCCACTCCATCTCTAGAGCGAGTTCTTCCTTATAAACGCGAATGACCTGGCTGACCCAAGGCGTCCACACCTGGTGTATCTCAGCCACCAGAGGACCTGCAGAGCACAAGAAAAGGGTAAGATGATAAAGGTTTACAAAATAAATCTCGGAATGTTGATCTGCAGTACCACAAGGAGGCGAATCGCACTGGCTAAATCAACATTAGTTTTGGGGTTCGCACCTTGGACGATAGTGACGTTTGCAGCGGCGGCCACCGGCTTAGCGTGAGCGCCGTCCGGCCGGAAGATGTATGCTCCGGAAGCGCGGAATTCCTCTTGGCTGTTATTTCCGCTCATTCCTGCGTACCACAGATACGTTTGGTTCACCTTCGGGAAGGAAAAGTTTGATTCAAATTTTCATGTGATAATAGCAGAAAAAAGGAAACATCCGAAAATGACAGTAAACGGGAACTAGTGTGGCTTTGCATGTAATATTTATCACCTTGAGGTTACCCCTTCAGCCACTAGCAGAAGTCCCCTCACCTTGATCATGGTGATGCCGTCGGGACGAACAACACCGATGGACTTCAGGAGGCCAGTGTCCTTGTCCAGCAACACTGCCAGGCCCTGATCCTGAATCATGAAAAAGGACATCTAGATATTATATCTACATGATAGTAATTACTGATTAATCTCACGTTCGCTGTTTACATAAGATGGTTTCATAATAGACCCTGTTAAATATGTTTCCAAGAAGAATAGACCAGTAGATGGAAACGGTAAACGATTTAAAACAACTTATATGTACTCTTACGTAATTATACCATCATAATTATTAGCTGCCACTGTTTTTTACCATCATAATTACCTTCCTCCCTTCTTCCCCAAAGCATAAACGCCCTACAGCGTGTGAGAGCGACTCACCCCGAGATTCACTTCGATGTCCTTGACGCCTCGCTCCGGCCGAAGGATCTGCGACATCTGCTCCTTCTGGAAAAGGAGGTTGGCCGTCCTTTGCACGTGGAACTGCAGGAGGCCCAATGGAGGAATGTCCTGCGCGAGGAACACCAGCTCGAAGGTCGCGGACGAGTTTCGGCCCGGGAGTTGCAGCACCGCGTCGGGCACGGGGACGAGTTGGCTCACGACGGCGTGGCCTGCTTGCAGGGGTCAGAGTTCATCTTTAGATGCTTTGTGCCTTTACATTTGATATTTAATTGTTTTAATTTGAGAGTAACCTTGTGAATATATGAACGCTGGTGTGCGTACTCTGTGTGCATTTGTAAGGGATAGTAATTTATCCAAATGTAGCAATAAAATTGCAGTTCTAGTTCCCTGACCCTGTTGGTCGGTGACCTTGTATCCAACTCCGCCTGGCACCGGCACCCGCGCGTGGAAGGAGCGGGGCCGGGCGAGGGGGTTGTACAGCGTGACGGTGAAGGCCTCGGACGCCTCGGAAGCAGGGCACGAAGACACGTTCAGAAGAGGGCAGAAGACGATGGCGGCCTCTGGACCTCCCTCGTCGCCTCCTTCAGCTGCATTCAGTGTGCTGCCAAGAAATGAAGCGTTACAAGCCGGGATGAGATGTGTCTCCTTCCATCATCGGTCATCGTCCAAAGTTTGGTAGTGTTCCCCTATACTTGTTTTTACTTAACTGTGGCTATTAAGATTTTTATTTCTTCGGACTCGACTCACTGATTAGCACACACGCACGTAACGCACCTATATGCCTCAGTCATCATCTGGAAGGACTCGCTCACGCCTTGCGAGAGCCTCTCCGAGTAGTCGTTCGTCACGTGCTGCTTGGCGGTTCCTGAGACGGCGTCGTGATGCTGCAGGACTCCCATTGCCTCCTTAAGGCGCTCCAGGCGGGGATCCTGGCCCATTCCGAGCACAGAGGCCGCCTGTTTCACCGCCTGCGGGAGGAAGGGGGTGTTAGAGGGGTAAGCAGGTAAGTAAGGAAGCACGAAAGAGAGAGAGAGAGAGAGAGAGAGAGAGAGAGAGAGAGAGAGAGAGAGAGAGAGAGAGAGAGAGAGAGAGAGAGAGAGAGAGAGAGGAGAGAGAGAATTCAGCTGCTAGAGCCTCTCTTTTTCATTTTCATAATGAAAACAGATCAGGAAAAACGAAAGAGATTTATGTGGAACAACTGATGAAGAAGGAATATGAACAGAATAGAGAGTAAAAAAAAATGCGTTCCACACACCTGCAGGAAGTTGTTGGTCTTCCTGACGTAGCCCTTGAGCGTGGGTCTGGAGGTGAAGTAGCCCGTCCAGTAGCTGTGGTTCCCCGACGCGTAGGGGAAGAAATCGTCGCTCTTCGTGGGCCACGTGAGGCCGGCGTCGTGCAGGGCCTTCAGGTAGCAGGACGGGGTCGAGTAGAACACGTTGACCTTTGACCCGTTCTCCTGGCGGGCGTTTACGTGCCTGAGTGAAAGGTGAGGAGGGACATTTGAAAAACAAATGAAGCTTGAAATTTACCAGTACTTCGGGATATAGTGTGTGGATATTTATGTGTTTATAAATAAATGCGTGTGTGTGTGTGTGTGTGTGTGTGTGTGTGTGTGTGTGTGTGTGTGTGTGTGTGTGTGTGTGTGTGTGTGTGTGTGTGTGTGTGTGTGCAATATCTGTACAGTACCCGAGGATAAAATTCTGAATAAAAGAACTAATACCTACTTTGGATATGTGACATATACGCGCAGACACTAATGGGTTATGTATTCTTTATTTGCTTATATCATTGTGTTCCATTTATTTCAAAGATAAGATTAAGTCCGATATGCGAACCTGAGCCTCGCCCGGACTATGTCTAAGGAAGACCGGCTTGTGCCAACTAACGTCGACTCGTTACCAGTCTGGAATAGCTGGTGCTGACTCGACTGAACTTAGTCCTTACCCACCGTGGTGCCCAGCCACAGCAGTGACCCCTGGCTATCACGCTTGGCGCTCTCCTGTATTTTCCACCTCTATTCACCCCAGTATTGTTAAGGACCGCACTCAGCCTTCCATTTAAAGAACCTACCAAGAATAATATACACATACTACCTCGCACAACTGTTTGAAACTAATGTCAACCCTTGAGCTAACCCAAGGAAATATCCTTTCATAGTTACAGCATCTATTTATCTATTAGGATGTTTATTTTCAAAGTGATCTTTATTCTACTAAATAACACTTGAACGTAACATGTTGGCCCAAGCCCTAACACACGCCTTACCTGATTAGCTTATCCAGGTTTTTGTACCAAGCATGAGCATTCATGTAATGGAAGTCCATCCCCATTGTCATAATGATGTCGTTAGCTGCATAGCCTTCGGCCTCCTCGCTCGCCGCCTTCAGGAACCCATCAACCTGAGAGCCAGTGTTACCAACCTTTCAGAAATTCGTTTAAGAGAGAATCAGACTTACCAACTCCCTAGGGAATGTCCTCCAAACTGCCCGTCTTCACACCCTTTCGCCATGCCGTCTAAAATAAAGACAGGAGACTAACCTGCAACTGGTGATTCCAGGACCAGATCTCCAGTCTAATTCTTGCCCTTTTCGTTGTTGTTGTATTCTCTAAGTCAGTTTTGTGTTTGTATTTGCAAAACACTCTTACCTTATCAGCTTGTCGATGTTTTTGTAATACATGTCAGCTGACTGGTAATTGAAGTCACTTCCCATGGTCATTATGATGTCACTACTCGCGTAACCCTTTGCCTCGTCAGCTGTGGCCTTCAGGAAGTCATTAACCTGAGGCAGGCGAGCAAGCAGTAAGCGTATGCAGAGTTGACACAAGAAAGGTCAAAAGCTAGGGAAAAGAATGACTGAGAAAGGAGGGAAATAGCGCAAAGAACACGCACATTAGAATATAAAAAATAACCCCAATATACAATACCAAAAGAGACGTAGCACAAGGCAGGGGGCGGGGGGAGGAACATGCCAAGGTCTAAAAGCAGAATCAAAACACAGAGCAGCAACAATTAAAAAAAAACAGCGAGGAAAGTCCCATGGCCATTCATCCATAGCTTACCAAATGGCTCATGAACCCCATGCACCGTACCAGATCAACTTGTCGAGGTTCTTGTACCACATGTCGCCACTCTGATAGTTAAAATCCTCTCCCATGGTCATGATGATGTGGTCAGAAGCGTAACCTTTGGCCTGGTCCTCCGCGGCCTTCAAGAAGTCGTCCACCTGACCATACGAGTCGTCACTCATGACAGCATGAGTTTCCAAGTGATTTTTACAAGCATAGGTTATTCACGTCTGCACTTTATGAGAACGGCCGATAATCTGCTGAATATCCGACTGAGTTTGAACCCCCCAAAAGAAAGTGTGTTATTTATGTTCACAATACTGAGAAGCAAATTGCGAGTGAGGTCGACAAATTCATGTTCCGTGAGTGACGACTTGTAAAGTGCAGAGGTGACTTACCTATATTTTCAACACGCTCCCTCGCTTTCATTCCGAAACTGTTTTGCTAAATGATTTTATTGAATAGAACAAGGGCACTGACATATAAAAAATCAATGAATTGCAAAATGATGCCATATGAAACAGAAGACCAACGTTACCAATAAATACTAGTCAACAGAGAACTATAAGCATTCAAAAGTTTTAACGAAGCACAAGGTAATATGCATATATGAAAAGCAATATAGAGGGGGAGTGTATATTCACAAAATATATTTCAGTGTGGAATATAAACATTAACATATATATTTTCATAATTCTTTCAGCTTACATTTCACGTAATCATCTATAAAAACTAACCTTTTGATCGACGTTATAATCGTGAAGTCGTGGGTCGTCCATGATGGGCTCGTCACGGCAGTTAATGTCGAAGCAGAAGCCACTCGGGGGGCCGTAGCCGTTGGGAAGAACGCCTGTGAACAGCCACGCCGATTTCCCTGGGGAAGCGGACAGGAGCGAAAG